GTAGAATGCCTATTTCCTTCAGCCACCTAGTGACAACTAACATCAGCATATGACCAACAGCTCATGTGCTCTTCTCTCCTCTTTATAGATGATGTACAACTAGTCATCTAGTCATCTGCCATAACCTGCTTGTACAGATACACCAAACAAGATCAAACTTGTCTGCTCTGATGTTCCAGTTCTCTGAGGCTTAGTCAATGAATCAGTGTTGTGCACAGACACCTCCAACTGGGATCTGGAGTCAGATCTTCCTGAAGAATATGAGAGGGAAGCATCCTCTTCTGTGTCTAACCTCCAGTGCCTTGCCCAAAAGTAAAACTGTACCTGATGGTACCACGCTTGGTGCCTCAGTGATCTTTTGTGGTAAAACCTTTTCATACTAACACCTTGGATCACTCCTCACCTATGTGACTGTCTGTGTTTTGCAAAAACAGTAAGAGCTTACCAGGAAATGGACCCTAAAGTGATTTTCTGATATACAGCACTCCAGTCCTGCCAGTTTGGGATATGTACCCAGTCTGAGTCCACACATGCAAACACAGATGTCTGCCCTGAGAAAACATTCAGAGTGGATTGACCATGAGTGTTTCTGTCTGTGACTCCTCCCTTGGAAAAAAAAAAAAAAAAAAGGAGAGAGCTAAGAGGGAAAAGTACATGGGCTTCTTAGGCATCTGTGAAGTCAGGTAGTTTTGGTTTTCCATATAACATATGGGAATAGGCAGAGAAATGTGATTCCTAAAAAGGCTCCTGGTCCAGGAGGAAGGAGGAGGGGGAAATTATTCTTACTTTTTTTCTTTTCTTTTTTTTTTTTTAAGAATATAACAGGTAATTATGGACTTTCCTAAAGCAAGAAAAGGTTTTCTTCCTAGACCGGCGTGCCTAGAGGGCTCACTTTTTCCAGGTCTGAAGGAGGGTTCATGATTCTGTCTGTATGATGATTTTGATTACACCAATCTTATTTCTTTTATTAACTTAAAACTGGTGTGAAAGACCAAAGAGACTGGAAGGAGGGGATCATTTGCCTAAGGTGGAAATGAGAAGGTGACAGCTTCAAGATGCAAAGAGCATTTTTTTCTGTGTCTAGCACTTCAAAATATCTTCAGCTTTTGTTCAGAGTTTCCATGACAGGCCTCTGGTTCTTCATAGACTGCACAGAAGCATGTAGGTGGGAGAGGACCTCTGCAGGTCTCTAGTCCAAGTTCTTACTCACGGCAGGGCTGATTCGAAACCTAGATCAGGTTGCTCTGTTATTTTATATATATAAGAAAGAGTTTATTCGGCTGACACTGAGATTAGCTGTCTCCTTGCATCTACACAGCTCAGCACAGTAGACAGACATTTCTTCTTCAAGAGAAAAAAATTACTGCTGTGCCTGCAAGGGTCGCTAAAACAGGAGCTAGAAGGTTGCTCAAGCAGCCTTACTGCCAGCCAGCTCCCGGCTGTGGTCCTGACCTGGTGCAAGGAAGTCCTGGTATGGTCAAGTGCAGGGCAGCACGGTACTCACTGTGGACCACTCCTGGCAATCAGTATTTGCTAGGCCACCCCCAAATTTGGCTTCTCTTATAGTCCCCCAGCACCATCCCAACATACATAGCGTCCAAATGTAGCATTGCTTCCTGATGCACTCCAGACCATGAAACAGACCTTCAGCTTCAGGCTATGAGCTCACATTTCCAGTGGGTCCATGGCACAACCATCACATTATTTCAGGTCCCTTGAACTGAAAAACACAGTCAACAAATATTAGGGCTATGGGGGCAGCTCACACAAAACCAAACAGTATATAGCATGTATACAGCCAGTCTAGGTCACAAGACTCAAGGCAAGAGACTGCTCTTTGACCCTGTCTCACTGAACAAAATACACCTGCCCTACATTATGTGGTGTGCTGCCAGAGCCCTTCAAACATCGCCAACCATCCCCTACAAGGTGCTCTCCCTGAAGCTGTGCACTGATCCCTGCCAGGGAGAGTATTACTCACTTGTCTGAGTTATGACAGGAATCCAGCTAAGACCTGGTAAGCCACTCTACCTGCTCTGCCATGCACTGGCATCTATTTGCTCTTCTAAACCATACAAAAGGGCCATCAGGAGAGCCTCTAGTAGACCCTGAAAGTGTATGACTGAGCCACCTCCACAGTCCTCTCAAAGCAGTCCTGGAGGAAAACTAGCAAGGAAGAGATCTTTAATACTGCTCTGATGAAGTTCCATTGGGAACTCCAATAAGGAGTTTCCATTGGGAACTTGCTTCCACTGAGAGCAAGCGAAGAACAAGCACCTCCTCAAAGGCTCTAACAGCACTGTGATAAAGGCAAGAAAGTTACTTAGGGAAGACCTCCTAAAGCACAGAGCCTCTCTCAGATGAAACCACTGAAGACTTTGTTGCAGGCTTATTGAAAACCAAGATCTGGTCTGCAATCACACTTGCCCAAGGTGTAAGACTTGATCAAAAGCAGTTAGGTTCAGCTGGTACACACTCCTGTACAGTCTATTGCTGTTTAATTCCAGCATGCACTAATTTCTAGTGTAACTTTTGGCAAAACCACTGAAATAACATTGAGGGTGTTCTACCACCAGCTGATGAGGTTAACTGATTCCCACAGGAATTAAATGAAGTGAAGGATTAGCACATAGTCAAGAAAGTAAATAAGGCCCTTGAATGGTATCATTACTGCTGAGGAATCACTGGAGAAGATAGGCCTTGTTCCTACCTTGATGACACCAGCACAAATTCATTAATTTCACTGTGTAAGAAGAACTATTCTCAATGGTAAAAAACATCTGCCATTTGGATGCAAACCAAGCACACAGGCAGGCTTGAGATGAACTGCAGAGCCCTGTATCCTCAACTTTTTCTGTAAAGCTATGTAACTTTTGCAGTGATAGAACTGAAACCTAAAATAGCAGCAGATATAGCATGCATCTTTGCAGATCTGAGAAAAGGGAAAAGTAAACGTGCAGTTTCTCGTGTTGTCTTTAATACTCACCTCAGGTCAGTGATGATGCACTGCCAGTCACTGAGATGATCAAATGCCAAAGCAGATTTTCTTTCAATTATCCTGTCCATAGTGACAAAGAAATAAGGAGGAAGAACCAGCAGAAGCTCTGGAGTCAAGGACCCCATAGAGGCACATGGAACCCAGCTGGTAGCCATAGCATTTTCCTCAAAGACCATGAGGAATGGCCATTCATATAGTTAGTGTTGCCATATCATCTACTCCCTCACATACTTCTGCATGACTAGATGACTAGAACCAGATGTACTGCCGTTGTGTCCATACAGAAAGCAGAGATGGAGTCATCTCTTCATACCTCATGTGTAACTATACATTTCACTATTCATTGCCAGCATGCTGCATCACTGCGATCATGGTGGGGAAGTGACAGGAAAACTGGAATCAGCCACTGCAGAACTTGGACCATCCTCTACACACTTGTCTTCAGTACAGCACAGTAAAACATGACTGGCCAGCAGAAAGTTCAGGGGAATTCTGAAGACTTAGTCGAGTATGAAAGTATTTTGAAATGACTAAAAGCTATCAAGGGAAAATGGAGCAATAGCAGGAATACAAAATTGCAAAAGTGCAGTTTACATACAGGTTGAATGGGCTTACTTGTCACTGTATTCAAGGTGAGTGGGAGAAGGGAGAGGCATACCAAGACAATCTAATCCAGCGAAACCTGCTTTTGCAATGCAATTCTTCGGGAGAAGGCATCTCAGATAGCTGTGATCCAACTGCAACTAAAGGTTTCTGGAAGGAGGATGGGGCCACAGTGAACATGGCCTACAGCTGACACTATACAACTGTGAGAGGAAATGGCTAAAACAGCATCACTGCAAAGGACAAAGTGCAGCATCCAACACATGTCTCCAGATGGAGACAGGGATGTCCCAGAGCTGGAGGGGCCTAACTGAACCAAACCCAGCCTTGCCAGGAGGAGAAGGGCCCAAATCTGCTCATAACCACTGAGCTGGGAAGCAGGGAAGGATCTGGCACAGGGGCACCAGGAGCACAGTGACAACTGGGCTGGAAGAGGCTGGACCCGTAAGCAAATGGGTGCCAGGGGCAGCTGCACATCCACCTGCTGCAGTGCGGGGATCTCACCAGGCATGTACATGCACCCCACAGGTGTTGTAAGTGAGAAAGGGTTTGCCAGTAGCTGTGCTATCTGTACCAAGCTCGTGTCCCTCCGCTTTCTGGGTCAGTCATGAAGCAGAGCAGAGAAGGCCTCAGTCAGATGTGTCATTTGGAGAAAAAATAACGATTGACACTTTCCATTTGCGGAGGTCAGCAACCATTTGTACTTCAAGTATCTGATCTGTTGCTGTAGTTGGACAGACACCAAGCCACTGATGCTAAGAAAAAGGGCTGTATTTACAGCTTCCAGTCTTGGTATCTTATGATTTGATTTTCAGAATAAAGTTAAAAAAAAAAAGAAAAAAAAAAAAGGAAAAAACAATAACCACTTCAGAGGTTTCCAAAGACAGAAGGCAATGTTTCACAGATCGAGAGACAACTGGGCAGACAAACATCTAAAATGCTTGCTACTTAAAACACCTTCCTGTTGTTCTGTATGACTGACACTACATGGGGTATGCCTGATGCAAGTCAGAGCAGGAAGGCTGTAAAACAGTATAAGCTTAGAGCAGTACTTGCTTATGTCCATCAGGCACAGATTAGGTTCTCTTTCTGAACCTCTACCATCTGGTGCAGAGTCTGGCTTCAAGAGCTTCATGATAAGCCTGGAGTTTTGTTTCACATTTGTGACACGTCCACACTATAAATGCCTGGCAGATGGAGCAATGCAAAAGGGAGAACAGAATCTATGCACACTGGTGTCCGATTTGCAGGGGCAATTCGCACAGGTGTTTTGACTAAACTTGGGTTCTTTTCACCAGCCAACATGTGTGCTATTTTTTTTTTCTGCAAATTGACTTTTCCACACCAGATCAAAACATAAACAAAGACTTGCAGATACACTTTTCCACACAAGCGATCCGAAATATTTTTAAATGCTTTTATTTACAATGCTAGTTGAAAACAATATATATATTTATATCTATCATCCTTGTGATGTTTGTGCCATAGAAAATGCTGTGGCTGTATTGCCTTTAATTTACAAAAAAAATGGTCACAAGAGAATCTGAGGGGAAAAATGGAAATCAAAGTTTGGTCCTCATTCGTTTATCTCTTGATTTGTTTTTTAAAAAGCCTCCAAATTAAAAAAAATACAGTTCAGATGAAATTCATATATAAAAACAAGCTTTATCTTCTGAAAAAAATCACGAGGGCCAGCTTGCTGTCTGTCATGTAAACTTTTTTAAAAAAAGAAATGTTAAAATAAATTCTGTCTCTGTGTGTGGTTTAATAAAAACATCATTGCTTGTAATATTATTTTTCTTTGCCTCTCAGGGTCCAATGGGAAAGAAGATGATAGGAGACCTAGGACTGGAAAATGCACCATGAGATCTGTGCCCATAGCCTCCTGGATCCAGGCAGGATATTTGACAGCAGGTCTGAGAAGCAGAAGCCACTGGTAAGAATCTCAGTTGTATTTGTGAAGAGAGAGGGCAAGTAGAAAGGAATGTCTGCCATGTGAAGAAGAGTCTGGCACATGGGCATAGTAAGGTTACTTACTCGGAGACAGGAAAATACGAGATTCTTGAGGAAAAAGGATAATTTTTAAGTAGGGCATAGTTGAAAGGATGTGAGGGGCTAGAAAAATTTCAGCTGGGGAATGTCATAGATGGGCTAGATCTTCAGGTGGGAAGGAAACTGCTGTCTTCCCTGTCTGAGAGCATTTTTAATCTTTCCTCATCTGAGACTGTGTGAAGCCAGAGGCTAATGTACAGTGCAAGCACAGGCTGGAATGGAGGAGGAGAGATGGACGGAACAGAAAAGATGGGAGGCAAGGACTCAAGCTGATGATCCGTTTTCTGTCTTTTGTCTCTTTGGATCCACTTCATCCTATATAGGAGAAAGAGATAGGGAAAAAAAAAAGTGTTACCAAACAATTACTACACCAAAGCACATGATTTCTGCACGAGATTCTTACTGTTGCTCTTTCCCCCATGCAGAAATATTTGTTTGGCCCACCCTAAATCTATTCTTTACATTGTATTGGAGTGCCTGACATTCAGCTGTTCCGTTAATGGTAATGCTTAAGATGTGCACAGATCCTCTTGCAGGGACACCTGCCATGTTAATTTCAGTACATATAAAGCCCAAACCTCACACCACCTCGGACAGATCCCAAGACCAACTTTAAAAGTCCATCCATCATCTGGCTTCTGTCCTGAAGCATGGAAATCACTGCTCTGTGAGGGATGATGACCCAGCACAATCTAAAGCACCCTGATTGCTCGAGGCAAGGACCTAGGCCAGTTCCACAAAGGGTCTATGAAGTTCTGTTATCTCCTTGCCACATCAGACTTCCTGACACAGAGAAGCAGCAATGAGACGTGAGGGTGATTTGAGATGCTCGGCAATGGCATCCACATGGATTTCATCAGTTCATAGCAGGTAGCCTAGTTCCTTTTCACTGTCATTACCTCTTCCTCCTCTGCAGATCGTTTTTCTGCATGTCCATCCTGCTCTTGCCCATTCTCATCTCCATCTAAACACAAACAAAAAAAAAGATGCAAGTTACTGAGGCAGCTTTGAGGTGAACCTAATCTCAGTCAGAGGGCTCAGAGGAAAAAGTTGCCTCTATGATCTTTCATACTCCCACAGTCTGATTCCTCCCATTTCTCCCAAGCAGATCATTCCCACCTTCATCCTCATCACCACCTTCATCTTCATCCGCATCCTCAGGATTCTCTTCCTCATCCTCTTCAGCTCCATTTTCCTCATCCTGAGTAAAACAGATTAACCAGAGCAGAAATTAGCATGAGGCTGCTATTCTCATGCTGCCTTTGTTGTGAGCGCAAGTATAATCCCCATAGCTCCAGCTATTTCAGACTCCAGCATCAGATGCGCATCAAGTGACCTCTGCACTGTTATTCAGACCCTGTCACTTCCAGCATCCCAGCTGTGTCACACAGCTGAAACCCTCCTTGCAAGCCTCCTTCCCTTACAAAGCCAACCCTTCCAAGCCCTTCCCACCAGCTCTAGCTTCCCTGACTTTCAGAAGTTTAAATTCCAACAAGCTGCAGAAATCCCTTCTCAACAGTCTCTCTGGTTACCCACGTGACTAAGCCTGTGCATGTAACACACCTGCTTCCAGATGCCTCCTGACCTGCAGCAATCTGTATCTCCTCACTGTAACTGCCTCCCTCTCCCTCAGCTTGTGCTCCTCTGTACCTCAGAGCACTCTCAATAGAGGAAAGATTGTGTTTGCGGTGCCACCTTCTCCTAACTCAGCCCTGATCTGCATGCTCCTTTCTTCCCCTTGGGCCACACTGGCTATGCTGCCTAAATCTTGCAAAACTCACTCACCACATTGATCCAAGAACTCATTCTTCATCTGTCCTTTTCCCTTATGAGCTCCATTGACCTGACCCCTCTTTTTAATTAATCTCCCATATTCCCTTCACATTCACGACCTGAAGTTCCCAGGCTAATGACCCCTTATAAAATCCTCGACTCCTCTAAATGTATGCCCCTCAGAAGGGCTATGCTGGGCCTCACCTCTACTATCTCCTTCTTCTTTTCTTTGTGGACCATTTTCTCCTCTAGTTTTTCCTTCTTTTCTTTCATTTCCTATACACAAGATATCATTCCAGTGGTCAGTGACAAGAAACAAAAAAAGGATGCATTGCTTCATTGTACATAAAAGGGGGTTAGAAAGGAGATACAACGTAATGATGAAGAGAGAGAAAACAAAAAGGCATTAAAACTGCCCTCCCAGCTCTGCAGAAGGGTGGTCAATGACATAGAAAAGCTGTGAACACGGGTCAGAATTACTTTTATTTGGGAATGAAAAAAAAAAAAAAGAGAGAGAGACAGAAAGAGAGAAAGTCTTAAGTTTTATCACACGGAGAAGGAAGTTTTTCCTCTCAGACACAGGAGCTGGCTGGAGGCGAAGAGCGACCCGCTGGTGGAGGCGCAATCCTGCCTGCCTGCCTGCCCGCCTGCCCGCCAGCCAGCCAGCCAGCCAGCCTTACCCCTAGCGCCCGCGCCCCATGCGCAGCCCGCAGCTGCCTGGCACCAGGGCGGCACCAGGGCCCCGTGGGCTCCCGCCTCACCGGAGGGTTCCCGCCTCGCTGGAGGGCCTTTTGGAGGGTCCTTCCCTCCCACAGCCTGGCCCCCATGCAAGTTCTCTGAATTTGCGACCGCACAACTGAGTTGTGGTCAGCTCGGCTGACTGGTGCCTGGGACAGCTGTCATTTCCAGCACCGGCAGCAAGGGGAGTCAGAGGCTGCTGGCACCGTCATTTCCCAGCCTGTGGCATGCTCAACACTTTATAGTGGTTTCTAAGCTCTGCCTTAAGAGGTCAAGCCCTGGGGAGGCACTTAGAGGCCCCTGTCTCCCAACCTCACTGGAGCTGTAACTGCTTAGCGCTATCTGTAAGCGCATGAAGGGCACGACAAGCTCACCAGGACTATGTGGGCTGGAAGGGATGAGGGTGGAGACTGCATTTTAGGGCTCCCAAGCCATCCCTTCCAGGCGAGGAGCTGGCACCTCTCGATGGGACACTGCATGGGGTACTGGCATGCTGAGGAGTCCCAGGGCAATGACCAAAGACAGAAACCTTGTCCCAAGTAGCACGGGAGCCTCAAGGGGTCTCTATGGCTCCCATTTCTGCAGTGCAGAAAGCATTTCTGGATAAGATGACACAGAGGACCACCCGCAGCCCTGACATTTATCCCATGCTCCCTCTTGCCACCAGGGATTTGAGTAGAAGACTCCACTACTCGGCTGCTAAGTAGTATAACAATGCACAACCACATGGCACATGTCATTTGGGATCTTTGTCATTCATCCTTCCCCCTCCTTTTTGGGAGGAGAGCATCTGCCTAAGCTTGCAATGAGCGCAGGGAACGGGAGCTGCTCTTTGATCCTCACAGCAACGCAGCCGCTGAGCTTCCACTGCCTTCCCAGTCTTCTACGATGTGGGGCTCTTCTTTGTCCAAATGCAGTAACAACTTGGTTCTGCGCGGGGCTCGCAAGGCCCGGCCTCCTGCCCGCGCTCAGCTCCACCAACCCTTCCTAGCGCATCCTCCAGAAGCGCCGCCCGGGAGGCAGGGCCGCCCCCGAAGGGGGGCACCTCGCGGCCCTGACGAGAGCCCCGGCGGGGGCACTGCGGGGACG